GGCGCCCCCCACCGCCTGCCCCTGCTGCGGCCAGCCGTGCCCCCGCCGCAGCCTGAGGTCCAACGTGCGGCTGGCGGTGGAGGTGCGCATCAGCCGGGAGCTGCGGGAGAAGCTGGCTGAGCCCGGAGCCCGCGCGGGGAAGCGCAGAGGGGGCCGCATCCCCACCATGGGCTGCCTGGACCCGCACGGAGAGGTAAGGCGGGTCGTGCTTCGCGGATCCGCTGCCGCTGGTGGAAGGGCGAGACTAGGGGTTCCCGGGGGGCGGGGCCCTTCTGGCAGTTTAGGCAAAGAATGACTCTGAGCAAAGCAAAGGACGAGGGGGCGGGGGGCTGACCCCAAGTCCCTGGAGTGACGCGAGAGGTGCCAGGAAGGACAAGGGGAAGGAGTTCACACTTTACCCAGGGGTCGGGGGCTGGACGGAACGCAGGGCGTCCGGAGCCCCTTGGCAGAGCGCGGGAGCTGCGCGCCGGGGAGTTGGGGACCCGGAGGGAGTACGGGTGGGCGCGGGCCGGACGAGGCCTGCGAGGACGGCGGGGGTCAGAACTAGCCTAGGGCAGGGCGAGAACCAGCTGGAGTGCAGGGGCGGGGAAGGAGGGGCTGTCAGAGGAGGGCGCGAGGGAGGAAAAGCAAATCCAAACGGCCCGGGAGCGTCGAGGGGTGAGCCCCGGGCTCCCGCCCGAGCCGCGCTGGGCACTATTTGTTATTGCTGTCCTCGGCTCCTCCCAGGGACCCCGGCGGGGGCGGCGACGGGTGCAGGCCAGGTCCACCCGCCGCGGGGACCTCTGGCTCCCGCCCCGCATCCCACCCCGCACGCCGCCCCCCTGCGCCACTCTTGGCCCCGACTCCTTGGCCATCAACCAGCTCCATTCCCTTGCCCGGCCTCCAGGCGTCCCAGATTCCTGACTGGCTTCTCCCCCAGCAGCCTAGCCGGTCTCGGGTCTTGCTTCCACACTTTGAAGTCTACACAGACCTAATTAGTCCAGGTGTAATTGGCATAATTAGGCAAATTGCCTTTCCTCTCTTCCCTTCACCACCACGCTGGCCTGCTTCAGTCATCCCCAAGGGATAGTGATGGGGGCAGGGGACCCTGGTATTTGGAGGGGGGCATCCAGGGCTCCTCCTGGTTCCCATGGTACCCTGCAGATCCGCCAGGACCTCCCGGGACACATCCAAGTCCGGCTGCCTCCTTGGCCAGCATGACAGATACAAAGCAAAGGGCCCAATAAACGCCACGGGGCTTTTATGGCAACAGGGGAAGCAACTTTGTTAGAAGGCTTTTATATACCAACTCTTAGCCCCGGGGCTCTGGGTGTTTGGTCTGTGTGATGGAGGGGAGAAGGACACCCTCAGGAAGGTAGACAAGGACAGGGGACCACTGAAAGAGACAGAATGAGGCTGGGAGAGGCAGCAGGGAAAGGTAAGGACTGGAAGCTAAGGGGGGCAGAAACAAGACCTGGACGAGGCTGGGGAAGGGGAAGGGAAGGAGGGCAGTGGATGATAATGGACAAGATGTTCGGGCCATGAAAGGGGACAAAGAGGTGATCGAGATCACTCTGAGAGGTGATGGGGAGCTCACCAACAGAGACCCAGCTACCTGGGGAAGGAGAAGAGGGGGAGAGCTCCTGAGTACAAAGCCCAGGGCTCACATCCATGTTTTCTTCTGCCCATCCCAGGATATAAGGAAGACTTGGAGAAGGTGAGTTCCATTTTACCGTCCCTTCCTTTCCACTACCGGCCACCACATCCATCACCTTCTCCATGGGCTCACAGCTTTGTCCCCACTCACGGACAGGTTTCCTGCTCCAGAGATGTGAGTGGGGTAGGGGTGGGGGCATCAGAGGGCAGAGGGTGTCTCCTGATTTCCTGACCCTTCTCCCTCATCTGTCTAGACCTGATGCCCCACCACCCAAGTCATCTAACTCAGACGATGCTCTCCCCGAAGACTATCCAGTGGTCAAAAACATGCTCCACAGACTGACGGGTAAGGAGGGCAGAAGGGACCCCACCGAGTAACAGTCTGTCTCAGGCCTGCTCCCTTTTCTCTCTCAAACATGCTCAAGTCTTTTCTGATGTTTGCATTCAGTGTCCTGGGGCTCCTGGAACAGAGCACCACATACTGAGTGGCTTAACACAAACTGTCTCACAGTTATGCAAGAAGTTGGTGGGATTGCTTCCTTCTAAGGCTGTTTGGGTGAATCTGCTCCCTGCCTCTCTTCTAGCGTCTGGGAACCTCAGGGGTTCCGTGGCCCAAAGATGGCCTTCTCCCTGTGTCTTCACATGGTTTCCCCTGGTACTTATTTGTCTCTGGGTCCAAATTTCCTCTTTTTATAAAGACTCTAGTCATATTGGACTAGGGCCTGCCCTAATGACCTCATTTTAACTTAATTACCTCTGTAAAGACTCCATTTCCAACAAAGTTCACATTCTGAGGTACTGGGAAACGGCAACATTCCCTTTTTGGGGGGAACACAGTTCTACCCGTAACAATGTCTGTCCTCAGTTCCCCATATTCCAGCATCACACTCTCACAAACAGACCCTTGGGGGTCAACTGCTTCTCCCTCGTGGCATTACCCCTCTCCAGAAGACCCGCATCTCTCTGCAGCTCCTGCGGAGTTCCCGCCCCACCCACTACCAGAGCTGCCCCCTACATTCTTTAAACCGCCAGAGGGGCGCCTGGCTGGCTCTGTCTGCGGAGCCTGCGACTCTTGATCTCAGGGTTGTGAGTTCAAGCCCCACGCTGGGTGTAGAGATGACTTAAACATAAAATCTTAAAAAAACAAAAACAAAACTGCCAAAGGTGCTCCACGGTCTTGGTCACCCACCATCCCACCAGGCCCAGATTGCTTCTAGCAGCCCCAATCCAGAAATCTCTCCTCAAAAGCAAACCACACACGAACACTTCTGGTCCCTTTGGCTCTCACCACGGTCCTTCTCCTCCTCTGCCCCAGCCTCCCAAAGCAACCAGCCAGTCCACTCCCACCTCCCCTTGGGGTCCCAGTGTCTTTCCTATCAGTGCGTCTCTTCTGAGCCACCTTCCCTATCCGGCTGACCCAGCTCCATGCCCCACGTGATACAGCAGAGGGAAGTACCAGTCCTTACTCCTCCCTGCAAGTTGGACTGGCTAAACTCTTCTCCCGACCCACACACCAAGCTCTCTCTTGCCCTCTGCACTGCGTCCCCTGCCCAGGGTCAGCACGGTCCTCGCCCAAATCCAGCTCCACACAAGCGGCGCATCAGTGCAGTGAGTGTTGCCCAAGCCGCCCCTTTCTACGCCTTCCCCCACTCGGGCCTACGGCCGCCTTTGCAGCTGCGCTGAGGTCTCTTGAGGGCCCTCCGCTGCACGCTGTCAGTCTCCTCCCGCCTCTGACTCGGAAAGCCCCTCAAGCGCTTCTCTCCTGCCTTTCCCCGTGCAGCCGACCTGACCCTGGACCCCGGCACCGCGCACCGCCGCCTGCTCATCTCGGCGGACCGCCGCAGTGTCCGACTGGCCCCCCCAGGGACACCCGCGCCCCCCGACGGCCCCGCGCGCTTCGATCATCTCCCGGCGGTGCTGGGTGCACAGGGCTTTGGGGCCGGCCGGCACTGCTGGGAGGTGGAGACCGCCGAGGCCGCCTCCGGCCCAGACCGCTCTGGGGAGGACGAGGACCACGGCGAGAGCCGCTACGCCGTGGGTGCGGCCGGGGAGTCGGTGCGCCGCAAGGGCCGCGTGGGGCTGTGCCCCGCGGGGGCTGTGTGGGCCGTGGAGGGCCGCGGC